TTATTCTGGAACTTCATTTTCATACTGTTTTACTATTTCTTCTATCTCCTTTTTGAAACATAGACTTTGTTCATATAAAGACAAAGCCCTCCCTAAATGAGCCTCTCCTTTTAAATACTTACTTTAAAACACAGAACAGAATGAGTAGAATCCTGCTCTTGTTCCTCACTGCTACCATCCATCATCAATATTTTTGTCTTTCAAAGTTTTTGTTATCTTAGCTGCATTGTTGGCATAGTTAGTATGAGTATTAGTTCTGCTGATATTGAAGTACAGTAGAGCTTAGTGGTTAAGTATCTAGGATCTACAACCAAACTGAGTAAATATAAACCATAATTCTCCACTTAATATCTATATAACTTTAGCAAGTTATTTTAACTCAGTTGGACTTGGTTATTTTATCTGTGATATTAGGATAGCAGTAGTAGCTTTCTGATGTAGTTAGTTTAAAATGAGAATCTAGAACAGTGACTGACACTAATGATTTCATAACTATTGGGTATTATTATGTCTATTTGACTGACTCACATTTATGGACTTATTTTTATGTGCCGGGCATGACTAAGCCTTTTAGGTGCATTATTTCATTTAGCCTCACAGCAATCCTATGAAATATGATATATTAATATCATCACTGTACAAGTCCTAACACCTCTTAAATGCTTATGATATGCCAGATATTCCCTTTGGGTGCTTTGCTTGTAATAACACATAAGTTCTGTTAGCATCCCTGTCTTGCAGATGAGGAAGGAAGAATAGATAGTTTAAAATGCTCAAGATCACTCAAGTACTAAGTGATGGAAATGAACTTTGAATCCAGGCAGTCTGGTCTTAGCACCCATTCTCTTGGCCATTACATAACACTGCCCTTTTTATAGACAAGGAATCAGAAGCCAGGTTAGCTAGCTCTCCAGTCACATAGTCATTAAGTGGCAAAGCTGATTTTACAGAAATTTCTGTACCATATTATGTCACTTTTTTTTTCTCCACAACCACAAGTGACTTTGGCCCCTTGCTCCTCTGCATGCAGTCACCTTGCCTGAACTTAAATGAATCTACATCGCCTTCTGTCTCCCTGACCTCATAGCTCCCTCCACCATTACTTCCTATGAGCTTCATATTTACTTCACTTAGGGACGTTATCCTCGATTATCCTTTGTGACCAGCCTAAGCTCCATCATCTCCAAGATGTCATGGACTTATGGACTCAGCTCTTCCTTTCCTTGTCCTACTACGTTTCCTCAAACCCTCCTCATACATTCTCTGTTCATCATCTCACTCTTGGTGGGCTTCTCTTCACCTGTACTAATATGTCCAGCCATTTTTGATACTGCCCTAGTTTCTGACATGTAATGGGATCTCTCCCATTTTTGAACCTTTGTTGATCCATTTCTTCTTTTTTCGATTTCTTCCTTCTTTTTAATGTTCATCCCCCAAGGCCAAACTTGGAAGTTTCTCTATGGAAGACTTGCTTCCTGGTCACCCCAGCTGGAATGGATTTTTCCCTTCTTTGCTTTTTATATTTTACTCCTGTTGTTGCCTTTGACGTGTTGTCTCTCTGGTATTTGTCTCTCTTTTTCTCTCTCCTACTAAACCAAGGTTGATACTTGCCTTTTTCTGAGTGCCTGGTAGCATCATATAGAAAAAAGAGCACATATTTTCATGTCAGACAGCCTTGGATTCTAATGTCAGCCCTTCAGCAGTATTTTAAAAGTTTGAGACTGTTTTTCTTACACAATCTTTCTGTCTCCATTTTCCTTTTTCTAAAATGAGAGGAAAGTGTAATTCAGAGAGCTGTTTTGAGGATTACATGAACTAATGTAGGTGGAGAAAGTATAGTAAGTACTCTGTAATTTTAGCTCCCATCTCCTCCTCAGCACAGCACCCTGCTCTAAATGTAGTCTCACAAAGATTTGCAGGGGAATGCATAAACGAATGTTGAATGAAGTGGCTGCTTCAACTTTGGCTGCATGCAAGTGTAAGAAAAACTGTAAAGGCTTCCTGTAGTTGGCAAGGATTTTGATAATCAGGATTTTAATTACTTGGATATTGATTTGGGTAGCAATTACATAAAATCTAAAAAGATGCGGCTCTGAAAAGATTGGCGGATTTTATTCTTAAATAGGAAAAGTCAGTGATGCATTTTTATGACACAATGGCCATGAATAATTTTTTAAAAAGGATGGATAAATGAATTAAGGAACTTAAAAGTAGGAAGCATTTAGAAATGTCACAAGTTTATGTATTTAGAACATTTTTCAGGGCAAGAGTAAAAAGAAAACATTGAAAGAGATCTATTGACATTTCATTTCAAGAATAGTAGGGTGATTTCAAGTAACTTTGTCAAGATTATTATTTAAATTTACAATTAGAATCATGAAATGTATTACTAACCACATCAAATGTGCATACTCAGATGTGAATCCTGGTGGCAAAACCTACTGGCTTTGGAATTGGACAGACTTGATTTGAAACAGGTCTCCTCTACTTAGATCTGGTTAATAACTTGTGCAAGTGATTTCACTTATCTCAGGCTTAGCTTCTTCATCCATAAAATGGGTATATTAATAATACCCTGGCATGTAGTGCATAAAGGCCAGGGATGATACTAAATATCATACAGTGCACAGGACAGCATCCCACAACATAGAGTTACACGTCCTGAAAAAACAATAGTTTAGAGGCTGAGAAACCTTGAGCTAACAAATGGGTAAAATTCATCTCTTTCCAGCTTATCTAGAAATAGCCGTATTTTCAAATTTCAAAAAGGGAGAGAAAAAATGATGACTGAAAGTTAATTCATACAAAGTTAACTTCATGCATCATACTTTCAAAATAATTATTAGAAACAAAGAAACACATATTAGATAATCCTAGGTAAAAGCTTTACAGTCTTTTTTTGTAAATCTTACCATGCAATTTATCACCTGGACTCCTTATTAAAGCACAGATTTCCAGACTTCATTCCCAGCACATTCTGATTTGGAAAAGTCTGGTGTGAGAAATCTGTAATTTAAATAAGCACCTCAGGGAATTCTGATGCAACTGGTTCATGGAAGACGGTTTGAAGGAATTCTTCCAAAGGGCTGAATGGGGTGGATGGTTAACTCATATAAACACAAAAAAGTTCCAGCATTATGTGGTTCTGGTTCTCTTTATCCTTAAAGCTTTGAGAAGTCTCAGTCTCATTATTATTGAACAAAGTCGGATGGATCTGTAGAAAGATAACAGTCAACACAAGTTTGCTGGTATCAAGACAGCCTACCCGTATGACCAAACCTATTTCCGCCTTCACCTGCCCTATTGCACAAGTACAACATTCAAACTACCAGAACAGTGGAAAACTATGTTCACCTCACTGGCCTTTGGAAACATGTACCATTTACCACTAGGTCTAGGAAACATGCCCTGTACACTCCTCTTATTTCTTCTCAGCCCTAAAGGGAAACTCTGATGTGTTATGGGCTTTGCACACAAGGCCACTTGGATTGTAGTCTTAAGAGAGGTGAAAATTTTTTCAACTTAAAAGTAACAATTAAGAATTAAAATATATTTTAAATCAATTTTTATAACAACTTTGGATGTTTATTTTATAAAGACAGGTTATGGGATTTTGCATTTATTTTCTAAAAAATAAATCCATATTTGGCTGAAGTTAAGTATCACTGGATACGTGCATTTTAATGGGAGTCATCCTTCCTAGAAAGAGAAAGTTTCTATTGTGCCAGCCATTCTGAAAACAAGTTATTCTTTTGACTCAAACCCAAAGATACCTATTCATCAAATGAAGAATGGAATGAAACATTCATTTCCCAAGTGACTATTTGCCTCAGAGGAGAGAAACCACTGAGGCAGGCAGATATTAGGCTGCATCAAGTGTACAAAACTGTTTGACCCAGTCCATGATTCACAGAAAAAGAGCTGATCCACTTCAGCCCTTCATAAAGTCATTTTTCAAATTTTATTAACAGATTAATAATAGCCAAGTTACTTTTCAGAAGCTTAAGTTTTTAACAGTTACATTTAAACATGTCCCTTAGAAGAATTCAAGCATCTATGAGGCAACCAATCTTGACTGAATTCAAGGCTCAGTATTCCATGTGAGAAACCTTATAAAGAACACACAGACACAGCTTAGCTCATTAGATATAGTGTGTCCTAAAACTTCTCTGAAAGAGAATATTTCTAAGGTTACTCAGGTTAAAGGGATATTTTCCTTACATAGTGTGAACATTATTGATAAAGTTTTTTTTAAATGATGGAATGGGATTTTTACTTGCAGATGGATTAAGGTGTTAGCACCATATAGCAATTCTTTTTGGATTTTTGTGTATATGTATGCAGCTAGAAGTGTGCCTCAAACACAATTGCCCCTGACCCCCACCACAACAGAAGGAAGAAAACCCTGAGGCAGGTATATTAAGTAATAATTATTTCTGTTATAAAACCATATGCTGTGGCATCTGATCGTGAGATTTCTTGGGACATTTAAAATATTCTATCTGCAAAATTTTTATGTCTATTCAGCTTGTAGGGAAGTTGCAAATAGTTGTATAATGTGAAGCACAGCTCCATTGGGATATTTATTGTTTTTTCAACAGCTCCTCAGTGAGTATCTACTCTGTGTCAGGCAGTGCGCTATGCATTATGGATTTAGCAGTGTATCTGAAGAACAACCTTTTGTCCTTAAGCAAATTACACTGCAGACTGAGATATAGACCAGAAACATACATAATGATACATTAAACATTTGCAATTTGTAATTAAATCTATGAAGAAATAGATACAAGTAAGTATAACCAACTATATTGTATCATTCTTTTATTTCTGGTGCTTCAAATAATGTAACATGTTAATATACTCCAAGTATCTATTTGCAAGGGCTAGTCAATCAAATCCAAAACATATTTTATTTCTTTAGAAAAACAATCTACCTTAAAATTGTTTGTAATTAACTTGACCTGAGAAATATAGATCCATTAACTTCTTTTCTTTTTCAGGGTTTTTGGAGCTGCCATACTACTTACCTCTACCCTGAATATGCTGATCCCATCAGCAGCCAGAGTGCATTATGGGTGTGTCATCTTTGTTAGGATATTGCAGGGACTTGTGGAGGTATGGAACTGCAGGATGACATCATCTTGAGGTTTGCATGTTAATAAGAACACAGCAGATTATTTTTTTCTTGACTTACAAATAAATGCATTTTATCAGGTTGTCTATACATAGTACTGAAAAATGGATAAGTTAGGCAATCAGATATTTTTGTCTTTAAATGATGCTACATTACAACCGTGGCTGCTTACCTCCACTTCTCCAGAACTGAGTGATATTAAAGAAATGCTTAATGACTGACTTAAAAAGTAAAAGAATAGGCACTTAATATGTTATGATAAGAAATTCTGAGTCTGCCCTTGGCTGGTGATAACCCTGAATTAATACCTTTGAGAATTTTATACCACATCCCTGCTGGCCTTGAAACATGATTTGAGTTTTCACTGAAATATTTCACTGGTATATTCTTTGGGCATTTGACTGGAATGACTGATATTGCTCCCTCAGCCAGTAGATGAAATAGTCTTTGAAAGAATATCATTAAAAACTTGAGATTGGCTTACCTGTTGCCCCTTCTCTTTCCATGCTGTGTGGTAGAAATAGATAAATCAGATAAAGCATTAAAGAAGGCACTGAAACAATCTCCCCTCTCTCCAAAAAGAAAGAAAAAAATGAGAGGATCAAAAGAACAAAGATGGATAATCATTTTAAAGATCTTATGTTCCAGACACTACCTTGAGAAATTTGAGCATCAAGGATCCAAGCTTCAGCTTCCTCTGTGTGAATTTCTTATATATGGGAATCACTGAGTTGAATGCCTCACACTTAAAGGTCTCCCAAATTCCTCAAACTGTTCAGAGTTGCAGATGAATTGAGTAATTAGTACAGGGTCTTTTCTTTCACCTAATTAGAAAAAAAGAGAATTGAAATAGAAGGAAGACTTGAAAGGTGGAGAGAACTCAAACAGGTCACTAACAAGGGGCATGTCTTACTTGGTCTGACTGAACGTTTTTAAAATGGATTTCGGGAATCAGCAAAGGTCCCTAGTAACAGCTTTCCCTAACACCTTGTGTCCATTCAAAAGGCATAGCTTCAGAGAAGGGAATGTGCTTATTTTCTAATGACCCTGGATCCTCAATGGTGACATATATCTTCCCCCATCACAGGGTGTCACCTACCCAGCTTGTCATGGAATATGGAGTAAGTGGGCCCCTCCTCTAGAAAGGAGTAGATTGGCAACCACCTCTTTCTGTGGTGAGTTCTGTGTGCAGATGTTAACTGTGGTGGGTAAAAGTTTAGGAACAACTTGGGTAAGAATTGAAAGTTGGTAAAACTTGCCTGTAAAACCATCTGGGATGTGTGTGTGTGTGTGTGTGTGTGTGTGTGTGTGTGTGTGTGTGTGTATGCCCGTGTGTGTGCTTTTTACCACAATTTCAATTTCCTTAATTCTTATTGGTTTCTTTAAATCCTCTATTTCCTTTTGTGTTTTATTTTTTTCTAAGGGTTCATCCATTTCATCTAGGTTTTCAAATATATTCATGAGTGATTTTTATTATAGTCTTTAAAATTTTTATTATAGATTTTATATTTAGTGTTTTATTTATTTTAATAAATTAATAAAAAATTAAAAATATTTATTATTTTTAAATCTCTGTTGTGTCTTGGGCAAGAGGTTTATATCCAGTTACATAGTCCTACATTCCTGGCTAAGTATGTGGGCAAATATATGTGTTTGGGGGTGTTTAGGTGTGAGCAAGTGTGACCCAAATGTACAAGTGTATTTGTGTAAGCCAACCAACATGAGACGAAGTCAAGAACATCTGCTGATTTGCTTACCTTCCTCCCATTCTTCCTTCAACTTTAGGTTCCTACGCTGGAGCTGTGATTGCAATGCCTTTAGCTGGCATTCTTGTACAGTATACTGGCTGGTCTTCTGTATTCTATGTCTATGGTATGTTGCATTTCTATATAATAGAATTTAAAAATGTGCATAAACTAAAACAATGTTAGATTACTGAATATTCTTCCATGTTTATGTACTTTTTTTCTATAAGAATCCTTTCCTTATATTCTGCGAAGATAAAGGAAAATGTTCTATCTCTAGATATTTTTTCCCTACATTGTTTATTGTTTTTTAAAGCAACAATGTAGGATTTTCCCCTACATTTTTATTATTTATTGTTTTTAAAAGCAAGAACATTGCTGATGGAAACTTTGTGATGTATGACATATATTATTCTTGATTATAAAAAAAATTAAGTTAACTCTTGATTGAAAGCTGAGTAAGAGGAACAAGCCAGGGAGCACCTATTTCTCTTCCTTGCTACTGCTTTCTAGGTCTTTCCACTGATCCTGCCTCCTCCAGGCTGAATGGGGTAGAAAGCTGGAAGCCGATTGTAGTGCTAATGCAACAATTCAATTTTGTGATGATATATTAGCAGTCAGCTGTGCAGCAGCACATTTTAGCCTTCATTTCCCCAGAATTAGTGGATATTAAGTCCCATGGAAATAAAGATTACAAGAAATCTAAAGTCCTAGCTCCCTTTCTGTTCACTTTCCAACCAGAAGCTGGAAATTTACAGCTTGAAACTTAACCTCTAAAGTCTCTCTCTAAGTCACTTTTTTAATTACAAGGAAAGGAGAAATGTAAGAGGGCTGGATTCCAACCGATATTGTCACTGATTAATACCATCTTTGGATGTGGGCATGAGAATCTGAAGTATTAATGAAGTCATGTGGTAGAACAGAATAGTATCTGGCTGCTTCTAAAAATGCCATGATCTATTCCCATTTCGAAATGTTCTCATTGGAGCAAATTCTTATGTTTGCAGGATGTTATTAAATGTTCTTTATAATAGGGACTCTCTTCCTGGTTCAAAAACCATGGATGGCTTTTGGATTCATGAGTGCCCTATATTGTAAGCCATGCAATGTTTGTACATCTCTTTTCTGTAGAGATCTTTTTTTTTGTCATATTTTAATCCACATCTTTCATTAGCTTTTCAAAAAGGTCCATAATTCAAAGTTTAAAGCTCTTATTTATAGGATGTGTAGTACAAGTTGGGATGGTCATCCATTAAATCCTCTGATTTGCCTTAATTGAATCCACTACTGTATTGAAGATATGATGTGACTTTAAAGGAAGGATATTAATTTCCACAAAGCACTCACGAAAAGCAGTCTCATTATTTTGGGTTGTATCTCATTTAATATGTATCATTAAATGGTACAAAGTTCAAATATTAGATAATATGAAAATACCATATCATAGTACTTGCTTATTTACTGTGTGTCAAAAAAAATTGTCTTTGAGCTGGACATTCAGAATTGATATTTTTTAAATAATAAGATGAGACTGGTATAGCTCAAGTTTCAAAAGATAATGCACATATAGCAATTAGTGGAGTGTCTGGCACTTCAGACGCATTCAGTTAGCGGTAATGGTAATTACTACTGAATAACAAGAGCTCACATTTATCAAGGACTTGTTTTGCACCATCCACTATGCTAATTGCTTTATGCATTATCTCCTTTAATTTTTCTTTGCTACATTCTCATAAAAAAGGAATTATATCTCATTTATAGTGGAGGTTTACAGAGATTCCGTTACTGATCAGATCACATAACTGAGTGACACAACCAGGATTTGAATCTGGGAGAGCCATATTCCATAACCATTACACTACTAAATTATCACACACTGTCTGGCCCCAAGCTGTGTTTGCTTTCATGTTCAGTAATTAAGAAGAAGATGGCACAATAGAATCTATGGTGTTAAGGAATAATTCTTAGGACAAACAAAAAAAAAGTATTATAGAGATCAAGGGGATTTAGACTGTACTCAAGGGAAAAAGAAAACAGTATGAAGCAAAACTGAAATGCTGGGAAACCAGAATAAGTCACCTGAAATTCTTTCTATTATTAATGCTTCAGATTTATATTGTACAATGAAGGCAGTTTTTAATGATGAGAGTGCTAAATAAAGAAGGTGATGTGAAAGAACTTGCAAGCAATTTATTGTGTTGGAGTTTATAACTGTCATCTGCCCAAAGAATGTTCCATGGACAATAGTGTGTACTACAAATAAAATGGTGCACAGTCCCATAAAGTGTTAAATGTTACTATATTAATTACAGAAGCCCACTTTTTCATGAGCCATAGTCACTCAGACTAAAGTAATCTTATGTATTTTACTTAATAGTCTGTTTACTAGATCTGAAAGCACCAACAGGAGAGGGAAATGAGTATCTTTCAAAATACAGACCATTGTCATATTCAAGGCAGGCAAATAATAAAAGGATTTATCCCTCACAAAATTAGTTGAAGACAGGAATTTTATCTTGTTCATAATATTTTTCTCACTTAGCAGAGTGCCTGGAATAATAACTCCCCGGTAAATGTTTGCTGGATAATATGAGCATGTTCCAAAACACACAATTAAATTCTTATTCATTATGAGTTTCTTCATAATGAATAACAATTATTCATTCAGTGTCAGCATTATTTAGTAGAGACAATGAGACAAACAACAGGATGAGCCTTCAGGAAGCTTGAAGTCTGGTGGCAAAAGACAAGAAGAGCTGGCTAAGTCAGCTGAAGGAACAAACTTGAATTCACATTTGAGAGGATGTGTTTGTCATGAGATTATTGTAGTTTTGTTCCAGCAAATGATTCTTACATGAAGTATTTATGATAGCTTTCTTTGACATCCTCCTTTTGAATCCTTGCTTGCAGGAAGCTTTGGAATGATCTGGTACATGTTTTGGCTTTTGGTGTCTTATGAGAGTCCTGCAAAGCATCCTACTATTACAGATGAAGAACGTAGGTACATAGAAGAAAGCATTGGAGAGAGTGCAAATCTTTTAGGTGCAATGGAAGTAAGAACTTTATTATGGTGTATATTCCTATTATTATTCTTCATCTCATCTACCTTTGACCAACCAAAGTATTTTATGAGTCCCTATTCAATAAAACTAATTTGGTATGAATCATGATTGTTTTCTTTACTCCATGCATATTCCTTGACTTACTTAGGAATGATTGCTTCCTCCATCTATAAGTTCTTTTAATTTTTTTATCTTTTCTTGAGCATCTTCAAATTTTCCCTGGATTATAGCTATGATTATAGACCTTAGCAAATTTTTTAAAACATTTCAATATGTTCCATAATTTAAACAAATTCAACCAATATTTCTTAATTTCAGTTTGTAGGAAATGCCAAACCACCTAACAGTCATAAAAAGGGCTATTTTTTTGTTTATTAAATACTCTAAACTTAGGTTTTATGCATGTGTTTTATGTTATATGTGGTTTAGGAAATACTAAATCATTACAATGCTGATAATAGCTGACATGAAGAATATTCTTAATATAATCCTTTCATTGATAAAATATTACCATTTTACAGGATTAGTATTATGAAGATCAAGTATTATGAAGATAATGTGAAGCTTCTTTGTGATTTTGATTTGGTTTCTTGGATGGGCTCTCTGGGGAGAGTACATGCAATTCTATGTCAATAATGCAAATATTTTAGTCCACATGGCATTAATATATCATAAATAGTAATTAAAAAATATTCATCTAATATTATTTTAAAAACTGGTAAGCAAAAGTAATATATTTAGACAAATTCAATAATTTAGCACCTAATCAATAATTCAGTTTCCTTATGCTAAGCATTGGAAGTTACCAGAAACTGGCTGAGGAACCAGTGTTCGTCATCTTTCTCTTAAGGTCTCCTTTCCACATTCCAATTGCATTTTATTCTAGTATGACTCGCTACTTCATTTGTTAGAGAAGGCCTGCCTGTCTTTGACATCTCATCCTGGGTGAAATGTCTGTCAACCATTGTTGCTGAGTGTATCTTGACTTTAATGAATAAGAAAAACCTCATATTTAATATCATTCAGAAGTTAACCTTAAGTACTTAAAAAAAAATCCTTACATTATAGTTGGTCCATTAGCTATAGAGGCTGATATCAGAACTTTCTCCTTCCTGTTTCCTTCTGTAAATGGACTGATAATTTAGTTCTGTCGGTGGTTGTCTAAGAAACAGGTTGTTATATGGGGGTGAGGTCAGTGTTGGCAATGTGCTCTAGTGACCACCAGCTGCAGTTGCTGTGAGCAGAAGGTTAATATATACTGATGTATGGTGAGTTCAGAACACCCGCAATTTCTAGCCAAAAATAATCTGATCAGCCTCTATCTAAACTGGTTACTTGTTTTATTTATCACATCTGGGGGGTTTGCATTGTCTAAACCAGATACAATTTTTTTCAAACAATCAGAAATTTAGTGTAAATGAAAACCAATTTCTGAAAATGACCCTGAAAGAATAGCTGGTAACTACGATGATGGACAGTGCTTCTTCCTCCATCTATAAGTTCTTTTAATTTCTTTATTTTTTCCTGAGCATCTTCAAATTTTCCCTGGATTATAGCTATGACTGTAGACCTAACCAAATTTTTGTGAAGGGGTATTTGGGGGGGACTTGGTGAAGGGGGTAGCCTAGTAAACATAATGTTCTTCATGTAATTATAGATTAATGACACCAAAATAAAAAATAAAATAAAATAAAGAAAAGCTGGTAGGCTAATAAAACTGTGTAGATTATCTGAAACTCTCCATTTCCTATACCTTATTGCTTTTCTAAACACAATACTTTACTTCTTACTGTTGTTTTATATTTTGCTGTAGCTTCAAAGGAAAGTTAAAAATGAGATCAGGTGAAAATAGAACCTGTACTTATTTTGAATTTTTTACTGTGAACAAATTCAATATATGGCGAAGTAGAAAGAATAATAACAGCTACATTCATGGACCCACTGCATAGATGCAACAGTTGCTAACAATTTGCCTTATTTATTTCCCTTTTATTTTTGCTGAATGAATTCAAAGTAAATGAGGTATAACACCTTGCCACAAATACTTTACATGCATCTCTAGAAAAATAAGAATATTATCCTTTGTAATCTAAATCATATCTAACACAATTTTTAAAAAACCCTACTATTATCTAATACCTAGATCATACTCCAATTTCTAATACCCAGTCCAAATTCAAACTTCCAGTCTTTATTTTTGTGTCTTATGTCTTCTGAGTCTGGATCCAGTTAAGGATCACACATTGTAGCCAGCTATAATGTCTCTTCAATCTCTCTTTTTTCCTTCAAAATTAATTAAATATAACATACACACAGAAAAATGCAGAAATCTTAAGTGAACAGCTTGCTGAATTTTTATCAACTAAACACACTTGTGAAGTAAACAGCTAGTTCTATAACTAGGATGTTTTCAGAATACCATAAGCCCTCCTATGGACCACCACAAATTTTTAAGGCATAAAATTAGACACTTTTATCTTATATTTGGTGAAGTCTTTTGCAACCTGACAAATGAAGTTCTTAGTGGAGATGAATATGGTATGAATAAAAGAAACACTTCCCCTGCAGGAAAGTTATTTACTTCTAATAATATCACAGAGGTATTTCTTTATACATGCATAATGCAGATACTGTATTGCAGTACATAATGCAGTAATGACAATGCAGATATTCCTGTATTCAGCCATTTTTTATTATTTTTTAAATCATTACAATGCTGATAATAGCTGACATGAAGAATATTCTTAATATAATCCTTTCATTGATAAAATATTACCATTTTACAGGATTAGTATTATGAAGATCAAGTATTATGAAGATAATGTGAAGCTTCTTTGTGATTTTGATTTGGTTTCTTGGATGGGCTCTCTGTGGAGAGTACATGCAATTCTATGTCAATAATGCAAATATTTTAGTCCACATGGCATTAATATATCATAAATAGTAATTAAAAAATATTCATCTAATATTATTTTAAAAACTGGTAAGCAAAAGTAATATATTTAGACAAATTCAATAATTTAGCACCTAATCAATAATTCAGTTTCCTTATGCTAAGCATTGGAAGTTACCAGAAACTGGCTGAGGAACCAGTGTTCGTCATCTTTCTCTTAAGGTCTCCTTTCCACATTCCAATTGCATTTTATTCTAGTATGACTCGCTACTTCATTTGTTAGAGAAGGCCTGCCTGTCTTTGACATCTCATCCTGGGTGAAATGTCTGTCAACCATTGTTGCTGAGTGTATCTTGACTTTAATGAATAAGAAAAACCTCATATTTAATATCATTCAGAAGTTAACCTTAAGTACTTAAAAAAAAATCCTTACATTATAGTTGGTCCATTAGCTATAGAGGCTGATATCAGAACTTTCTCCTTCCTGTTTCCTTCTGTAAATGGACTGATAATTTAGTTCTGTCGGTGGTTGTCTAAGAAACAGGTTGTTATATGGGGGTGAGGTCAGTGTTGGCAATGTGCTCTAGTGACCACCAGCTGCAGTTGCTGTGAGCAGAAGGTTAATATATACTGATGTATGGTGAGTTCAGAACACCCGCAATTTCTAGCCAAAAATAATCTGATCAGCCTCTATCTAAACTGGTTACTTGTTTTATTTATCACATCTGGGGGGTTTGCATTGTCTAAACCAGATACAATTTTTTTCAAACAATCAGAAATTTAGTGTAAATGAAAACCAATTTCTGAAAATGACCCTGAAAGAATAGCTGGTAACTACGATGATGGACAGTGCTTCTTCCTCCATCTATAAGTTCTTTTAATTTCTTTATTTTTTCCTGAGCATCTTCAAATTTTCCCTGGATTATAGCTATGACTGTAGACCTAACCAAATTTTTGTGAAGGGGTATTTGGGGGGGACTTGGTGAAGGGGGTAGCCTAGTAAACATAATGTTCTTCATGTAATTATAGATTAATGACACCAAAATAAAAAATAAAATAAAATAAAGAAAAGCTGGTAGGCTAATAAAACTGTGTAGATTATCTGAAACTCTCCATTTCCTATACCTTATTGCTTTTCTAAACACAATACTTTACTTCTTACTGTTGTTTTATATTTTGCTGTAGCTTCAAAGGAAAGTTAAAAATGAGATCAGGTGAAAATAGAACCTGTACTTATTTTGAATTTTTTACTGTGAACAAATTCAATATATGGCGAAGTAGAAAGAATAATAACAGCTACATTCATGGACCCACTGCATAGATGCAACAGTTGCTAACAATTTGCCTTATTTATTTCCCTTTTATTTTTGCTGAATGAATTCAAAGTAAATGAGGTATAACACCTTGCCACAAATACTTTACATGCATCTCTAGAAAAATAAGAATATTATCCTTTGTAATCTAAATCATATCTAACACAATTTTTAAAAAACCCTACTATTATCTAATACCTAGATCATACTCCAATTTCTAATACCCAGTCCAAATTCAAACTTCCAGTCTTTATTTTTGTGTCTTATGTCTTCTGAGTCTGGATCCAGTTAAGGATCACACATTGTAGCCAGCTATAATGTCTCTTCAATCTCTCTTTTTTCCTTCAAAATTAATTAAATATAACATACACACAGAAAAATGCAGAAATCTTAAGTGAACAGCTTGCTGAATTTTTATCAACTAAACACACTTGTGAAGTAAACAGCTAGTTCTATAACTAGGATGTTTTCAGAATACCATAAGCCCTCCTATGGACCACCACAAATTTTTAAGGCATAAAATTAGACACTTTTATCTTATATTTGGTGAAGTCTTTTGCAACCTGACAAATGAAGTTCTTAGTGGAGATGAATATGGTATGAATAAAAGAAACACTTCCCCTGCAGGAAAGTTATTTACTTCTAATAATATCACAGAGGTATTTCTTTATACATGCATAATGCAGATACTGTATTGCAGTACATAATGCAGTAATGACAATGCAGATATTCCTGTATTCAGCCATTTTTTATTATTTTTGAGATAAGTATATTCATCTGGCACCATTTTTCCAGAACATATTGAATTAAGAAAAAAATTGCACTTTATAAATCCATCTATGATGCCTTCACTATAAATGTTTATCCAGAGCCACAGTACTCATTACGTATTATTAGAACAAGTTGTTTTTATTTTGTTTGTTTTGGGTTTTTTTGGTCTAATATACATTTGTGATCACCTCAGTGTAACTTCCTACTATAAGTTATCTTTACAAGGTTTAATTAGAGTCACAATAAATACTGGCAACGATGAGGCTCTACATCCAGGAATAATTACTAAGTCACTAAATAAATAAATAATTACTAAATCTGTAAAAACTGTTTTGCCTCCTCTTTTACTAATTTGGTCAGGTCTGGGATCCCAAGCTATCATTACATAAAGTTACTTTAAACTGCTCTTTCTCATCAAACAGTATTTTGGTGTTCAAAATAAAGCAGAAAAGAAAGTGTTTGACAATATGAAAGACATTTTAAGGTCTAAATATATTAATTTGGGGGAAGTTACTTGCTTTTTTATATTTGGATATATACAGGATCTTTAAGCATATGAGAATAATTTTTTAACAGTTGTCTTAAGCAAAGTCAATCATAGTTAGATTGTTGATTTTTAATGTCTTAAATATCATAAATAATTGCTTATGATGTGCCATGGTGTGCTGGGGGGCCAAATGCTCTTACTCATCTGTGTATCATGTCAGTTATCCAGAATCTTGCACTCCAGTGTTATTTTGATTTATATTGATATCCACTGACTATCAAGAGAATTTGTAGATAGGTAGTGTGGTATCATTGACTTTAGAAGGGGTCTAGAAAATTGCACTCTTAATTTTTCTCCTAACTACATTGAATTTTCAACATTTTAGAAGAACTACTTTGGATATCAACAAGGTCACTAATTAGGCAGTGAATTTCAACTGAGGCACAATCTATCACTGCCAAGAAAAATATTGGGAACTAGGATCTATGCTTTGGAGTTAGTTTTCTGTAAATATGGAGTTTTGTATATTCCTAGTACTGAAGCAATCTAATCAAGGAGAGGCTGACACTTTTTTTCCCCCTTCCAACAATTGTTCATGCAGCTAAGATTAACTGGACTGTTGGAATTAACTTTTCACTACCTCCTGCCTTCTTCCTACTCATGCCGCAACATACATATACATCCTGAAAATGCAAAGCACCTATTATTCCCATTTAAATTAGAAAATATTTTAAATGGTCAAAACATCTCTTTTTTTGGGATTTCAGAAATTCAAGACCCCCTGGAGAAAATTTTTTACATCTATGCCAGTCTATGCAATAATTGTTGCAAACTTCTGCAGAAGCTGGACTTTTTACTTATTGCTTATTAGTCAGCCAGCATATTTTGAAGAAGTCTTTGGATTTGAAATCAGCAAGGTATGTAAAAACTATCCTTATTTAACCAATGCATTATTTTTGTATTTAATTGAGTACTAAATTCATTTGCCAAGGTTTTATATTCTAAATTTTAAGAATTATTTACTTATTTATTTATTTATTCAACAAATAATTTCTGGGACACAAAGACTAAAGAAGGTGTTTGAGTGTCTACTACATTCTACTATCTGCTCTTTGCTGCTGGAAATACAGACAGGTGGACCAGTCTCTGGCCTCATGGAGCCTACCTTGCAGTTGAAAGGGGACCCGTGGGGAGTCTGGGCAGCAGTGTAGCCTATTCACTGTAAATCCAGTAAACATAACATACTTTAAATCTCAGGTCAGAGACAATATCGCAGTGAGCCAAAAAGCATTTTATTAAAAAAGGAATTGACTTTATAAAATTACCAACCTCTTTTTTAATGCTCTCAGAAATCAGTCTGGCTGAAAGATTTGTGGATAGCAGAAAATACCTGAAAACATTGTGTGTTGTGGGCTCAATTTACTCATTTAACAAGCATTTGTTGAATGTGATATGTGAAGCTTTGTATTAGATTTCAGAAATGAAAACATGGTTCCCGTGCCCAAGATTCATAGCTTGGTGGTCTAGACAAAGACATTTAGAGCACAGCAAGCCTGCTAAATATTTAAACATATATTTGTAGCTATGAAAATATCATTTTGAGATTTTTCTATAAGAAAAAAATGAACATAAAAATACTCTATATAAGGAATTGCATCTTACAACGTCCTTTCATATTCATGAACAACTTTAACTGACCAACTGAAAACTGATCATCACGCTGTTGAACTGATGGGGAAGCAGGAACCGGGGAAAGCATTTAAACTGCCTAAGGCCAAACTGGTAATAAGTGACGGACTCAAGTTTAAGCCCAGATCCTTAAACGCTTCCATTCCCTTTGCTAGGCCACTCAAATTCAGGTAAACCCTATATTCATTTACACATTTAGCAAGTGTTCATTGGGTGCCACCTATGCTTCCAGCTCTTTGCTGAGTTCTGAACACACCTGTCTGTGCTGGCAGTGGGCTTGCTATTTCTCTTCTTGTCATTACCTAAGTCCAGCTGGGCTCACTATTCTTGTTATGTCTCTACTTGAAAGACTAGCTGAGGCCTAAACTGAAGAAAACCCGAGTTTAGGAGTAGCTATTCTAAGAGATCTTTTGTGATCCTTGTTTCTAAGGAAACTAAACTGTTTCCTCAATTCCTGAGAAGAAAGACTGCTTTAGACGGGGCTTTTCTCTCTGCAACTGATCAAACATCGCAGGGCAGCCTTTGGAAGCTCTAAGAAGTGTTACACTTCTCAACAAAGGCTGCTGGAGGTGTGAGTCCATTTTCACAATCTAGGACAACTAAGACACTGAGAGGCTATTAATAAAGTCGGGTGTCATGGGGAACAGTGAAGGCACCAACTGATGTTAATGAAACCGTGTGGTCATTCTGGCCCTGTAGCTTCAATTAATTGAAAATGCTTATAAATAAGAGCAATGACATTTTGTGAAAACTAAATATAATAACCAAATGAATTGATTTAATTCACTACTTACGTTTTTAACTAAAACTGTGAATAAATTCTGCACATACAGATTGACCTGAAGATGTAGATTATACTTGTAGAAGAAAAAATAAGTCTCTCTCTCTTTTTTTTTTTTAACTGAAAAATATGTAAAGGAAGTGATGGAGGACCTAGAGCCTTGGCTTTGGCTCCAGGCTGGCATGGCTCCAAATCCAAGCTTTGCAATAAAGTGTTGATACATAGCGTTAGGCTGGTTTTTGAATAATTTTCAACATCATATATAATGTCTATAAATAATGGTATTAACTATCGTCCAGAAGTGCAGCAAAATTTACGTGAACTAAAATATTTAATTAGGACTCTCAAACTTTACTCACATTGAATGGCCTACTTCTGCTGAAACCACAAGTACAGTAGCTGGAACTTCAATACAGGTAGACTGACTCTGTTAAAGCAGAAACACATAGACAATATGCTCATATACAAAAATGTTCAGCCCCTTGAGAAAGGCCTGTACTTGAATTAGCCAGCACTTCGAGAGGTGAGATTACAGGAGACAGCCAAACAAGAGGAGACACTCGTTTCTTTTGAGCTGCACACTTGAGAGCAGAGGAGAGCAGTGTTGAGCTCTCTGTTGCACGGTAGCCTGCAAATTTCTGAACAGAATATGGATCAGATGGGGAGAGAGGAGATCCAGATTGTGACCCATAGAAGGAAAGAGAAGGGCAGGCAAAGTCTAATGACCTGGGGTTTCTATAAAGAATTAATCAGTTATAAACTCAAAACTTAAAAGCCTGCTCTTGCAAAACCTTAAAATAGCAAATAAACTACTGTGTGATTATCATGAATAATGATAGTCTTAAAAGGTCTGGATCATTCTGATCACACAGGAAGTGACTAATTATAAGTCACTGAAAGCTGAGAAGAGAGTTGAATGACTTTCATGAAGTTCTGTAACTTCTGTGGCCCTGATGAAGTAACATCCAGAATATAGCTACATATTTCCTAAGGAACTGGGAGATTGAGTAGCACACATGTTAAATTAGTGGGCTAAAATATTCCAAAAATATTCCAAAACTTTTGCCCCCTTAACCTCTAGATTGCTAGTTTCTTGTGTTTCTCAGTTCTTTGCACACACCCTTCACTAAGTGAGTAAATAGCTTTATTCTTTGTTTATGTGAAGAAATTAAAATGTCTCTGAGTAAATAGTAAATAGCAGAGTATGTTCAATCTCAGAACTTTTCAGGCATCTCAAATACTGGATCAAATGTGGCCAATTATGTGGACTTCGGAAATGCAGGTCACTTTCGAACTTTTGCCTATCTCTGAATATCAAACACACTACTTGCAATTCCATATAAAACGTAACATAGTATATTTCAGAATGTTTTCTTCTTCCACAGTTTCTTTCCACACAGTGAGTGATTGCTTTAAATATGTCTACTTGGCTAAGAATAAAGAACCACTCCACTTTTTCAAGATGCTATTCTTTCTCAAAAGCAACAATGTTTGCCTAATTGTCAGTTTACCTTATACTTTTATATAGCTCACATTTATTGAGTCTCTACTAAATGCCAGGTTTTGAGCTAAACTAAGAACATTCACACATGCTGTCTGATTTTGATTTTTCTTTCTTTGATGGTGGTGGTGCTAAGCATAGTAGCAGTTCAGAGCTCAATTTTTGGACAGAGGTAGAAATGGCTCCCTAGTTGGTTTTGCAATCACCTAACCCTTCTTAGTCAAAGTTTCATCATCATACAGTGGGAATTTAGTATGAAAAACTTGCATGTGGGATGAGAGAATTGAACAGCTTGGACATTTAAGCTATTTTAGTCATTCACTATCTCAATTCATCAGTGCAACTCAAGTCCATGGTCATGACACCACTCTATATGCCATTTGAAAATTAAACAGAATCTTTGTATCAAACTTTCAATAATCTAACTCAAAAGATGTACTTATAGATAAATAGTACACTTTTATCCAGTACTTACAATTTGCTGGGAACTGTGCTTCAAATTATACTTAGTAAAAATCTTCCTTATATGTTTAGTCCATGCATGTGGTAATACACAGTTAAAATGCATTTTATTTGTACTTTGTTTTCATCATGGCTAGAGAACAGTGCCTTGCACATAATTATTGGTCAAACAATGTGTAGGGTTGATGCTGTCAGGCTAGGTTTCAGATTGGCCTTTTAGTATGAAATTAGTATAGAAACTATGTGCCACTGTATGGCGAGATGGCCATATATTGATATTTGACCTAGAAAATGCCTAAAATTGAAGAACTGATTTGCATTTTCTGGGCCCTTTATCTATTGAAACTAAATATAAAACTACAGTGCAATTAAGATTTTTTAGCCTTGTTATGGATTAAAAAATGAATTTTAAAATACAGCTTCTTCAAGGTTTGTCAAACGTATTTCTCCTCCCTCTGACTCTTTCTGTCATCTCTCTCTCTGTCTCTCTCTTCCTCTCTCGCTAATGATGAATTTTAATGTATTTAAATGGGCACATCACTATGAATTAATTTGTGATAAGATTAGGTATGGTAAACTCAAAATTTACTGACTCATAACAGAAAAAAAAGTATTCTCTTATAGGAGATAAAAGGAGATCAAAGTAAATTTACTTAGCTTTTCTCATTTATTCCCTGGAAATTACAGTTTATTCTAGGAATGAGCAAGTGGTCATTTGGAGACAGTGTATTTTACTTCCTTTGCCCATAAAGAGTTTATAAGGAATTCAGGAACCAAAACCACTAACATGCTGCATTACTTCCAGTCATGTGTATTTCCCCCTTTTTCATTTTCCATCAGGTTGGCATGCTATCTGCTGTACCACACTTAGTGATGACAATCATCGTACCTATTGGAGGGCAGATTGCAGATTTTCTAAGAAGCAAGCAAATTCTGTCAACAACTACAGTTAGAAAGATCATGAATTGTGGTGGTAAGTACAAAAGTGGTGTTAAGGACATATTTGTAGTTCCCTAAGTTCTGATCTACATGACTCAGTAACTTTTTCTCTATATATCAAATACACAATTAAATTTGAACCTTCCTTGTTCATTTCCCCATCTTCAGATTTTCGTAACTCCTTGTTTAAATAACCACATAACTAACTTAACCCTTCCCACTATGGAAGCTACTTTGCTTTTGATGTTTCTGTTAAAATACAAGGAAGGCTTCAGTAATCTCTGTGCATAAATTATTAACTGTTACCATTATTTTTAAGGTAGACACCCTGAGATGTTTTGCTAGGTCAAATAAGCATGAGCATTTTTAGCAGTCTTAGCTTATGGGAAAATTTGCACACATTTCTGAAGTATTTCCACATGTTTGTTTCTGAAGGTTTTGGCATGGAGGCAACATTGCTCCTGGTTGTTGGCTATTCTCATACAAGAGGCGTAGCTATCTCATTCTTGGTACTTGCAGTGGGGTTCAGTGGATTTGCTATTTCTGGTAAGATGCATTTAAAAAATTTTTACTTGTAACATCCTGATCTTTGCTAGTGATACTATATATGTACATGTTTTTTTTCTAGTTTCCTCTTTAATATTTTGATTGTTGAGGAAGTTTACCTAACATATTCCCACTAGAAGATAAAAGTAATAAAATGTTTAGAAAACATTTGGATTTGTTACTATTCACTTTCTTACTGCTTACCTTTCTTTTTCTTCTTCTTCTTCTTCTTTTTTTTTGTTAAAAGAACATCTCATATACCCTGTGGAGTGAGCATCACATATTAAATACTGGATAAGAAATCATGACTCATTCCATTTCCATTCCATTCCTGAATTAAATGACCAAGGAATCATTATTAAGCACATGCTACATATCTAATATCTTTCAAGGAAGGTGTGAGTGGGATAGATCATATTCTAGGAAACTTAGGATTCTCTGAGCCAAAGCTTACGTGTGTATTTCAGGTTTCAATGTTAACCACTTGGATATTGCTCCCAGATATGCCAGTATCTTAATGGGCATTTCAAATGGCGTTGGCACACTCTCGGGGATGGTTTGCCCTATCATTGTTGGTGCGATGACAAAGAATAAGGTAAGATGGATCAAAAGAGATGCTCAGCTGAAGAAGATTCTCATGGTTGGGAAGAGAGTTACTATGTGCTCTTCGGCTTTCTCTTCATGGTCCCATCACCACGTCTTTGAGTAGGAGAGATCTCTGAGGCTGAGAGGGAATCTCTCTTTAAGAACTCTGAGGCAACATTCTTCCCTGATCACTGTGTGATATGCTTTTCAACACCTTTTAATATTTCTAATATCTCTGGTGTGGCAAAACAACAGCAACCCCTTTTTCTCCTAGCTATGAGAACAGGCAAGAAGAAACCTTCTGAACTTTATTCATAAAACTCAATTCAGACTTCTCTGCAGTCTTGCTGGAGGAATATTATTATTATTAGCTATTTGTCCTTATATGTAGAACATCAAAATTAAAGTTTACCCAAAGGAAATAAACAAAAGAAGTGGGAAAAAGTAAGTAAATCAATAGAAATTAAAAGACACATTATGAATATTTTAAAAATTAGCAGGCCATAGATATATTTGGAGTTTTATTTCAGAACTTTTGATTTTAAAAAAATTTAAAGGATGAAAATTATAGTATTATATAAAGTTTCTATCAGAGTCTTTGTTTATATAATCAGAAGAGGGCTTTTCCCCTGAAGCTAGTGTTTTACGAAAAGTTTGCTTGTGGAGCCTTCAGAGAAGATGTTAGGCTGTTCACACATGGGGAGTTTGTTCTCACAGTGTCACTTTTTGTCACCACAGTCACGTGAAGAATGGCAGTATGTCTTCCTGATCGCTGCTCTAGTCCACTATGGTGGAGTTATATTTTATGCAATATTTGCCTCAGGAGAGAAGCAACCCTGGGCAGACCCTGAGGAAACAAGTGAAGAAAAATGTGGATTTATCCATGAAGATGAGCTTGATGAAGAAACAGGAGACATTACTCAAAATTATATAAATTATGGTACCACCAAATCTTATGGTGCCACAACACAGGCCAATGGAGGTTGGCCCAATGGTTGGGAAAAGAAAGAGGAATTTGTACAAGAAGAAGTACAAGACTCATACACCTATAAGAACCGAGATGATTATTCATAACAAAGCTAATTGCTGGATTTATTTTTAGTGTCTGTGATAATCGTGATTGCACACACACACAAAATGTGTAGACATGTAAACATATCAACCAGGCAAATCTTGCTGTAAAAATGAAATCAAAACAAACTCATGAAGTTACCATCAAGTGCAATCTGTAGAAATTGTGAAATTCCATCATTTCTAATCAGGTCATCCATTCTTGCATTTGTGATTCAAAGGCTGACTGGTCAAACTTGTAGAAGCAAGTAGTTTCTCATTGGATTCGTGTGAGCTAGATCTCATCACCACTTAGAAAGCACAACTAAAACAGTTGGCACATCCCATCCTACAAAGGTTAGGAAGCCAAAGCTACTTGATCATGCAAAATGCACTTATGTATTTGTTGCACTGTATTGCAAGATACCATGCAGAAGTCCTGTTAAAAAAAAGTGAATCTCTCACATGTTGGCAGTAGTTACAGAGTTTGAATCATGGAATTGGGATATCTCTCAACTGGAGAATGTTGTGGGCTAGCAACTAGCAAGGTGCACTAAATAATTGTTGTGACTATGTAATGGGGGATACTTTGTTGGTTCACAAAAGGAATATCTTGCAATGTTTTATATGAAATGCTTCGGCACAAACACTTTTATCTGTGAAAGAGAACTTGTAAAGTGAGGGATATGCTTCATGTTCTTCCATTCATTTACCTTACAGTATAAAACACTTCATACTTCAATAAAATTTGACTTTTCATGTAGCATATCACATAACTTTTTTGCAAAAAATATAAAAAATAAAATAGACTTTAATGTATTTTTTATTACAACTTTGTACTGGTTGTAACTTGGATTAGAAAAAAAGATATATACAACCTAAAGAATCTAATGAGAAATTTATTATTATTATTATATAGCCCTTAAAATGCAATACGAACAACAAAAAGAATAGAAATCATTTAGATATCTTTTGTCCTTAATAATTAAACATTATATGAAACTTGTGCCACAGAGCTATATATAATATGAAAAGATAAACTTAATAGAGATATTGTAAGTAGACAATTTTATTATTTAAAGTCCCACTTAAAAAGATATTTGTCTTAAATATATAGGACAATAAATTATATTAAAATTATATCTATATATATCTTTATATCTTATACATATCCATACACAGACACATAATAATCTTCACAAAAAAACAAAAATAGCATACACCAAATGTTGGGTTAGGGGACTGCAATTTCTACTTTCATAGAGTCATAGAATTTAAGATGGGGCAGAGGCATTTCACTTGTCATTTCTTAATATAACTGAACAGGAATTGCAACATTTGTGTTCCAAGCAATAAGTGCAATACATAAAATTTCCTGTCTGTATATTACCTTCATTTTGCTTGTGGTAGCTGTTTGGGTGGTTGGAATGATTTTTTTTCTTTTAAAAAGGTTAACACCAGATTTCTTTATAATGCTCTAAATGATAAAAATGCATTTCCCAGTACAACACAAAATACTACTGGTATGCTTAATTGTCTATTCTGGATATTCAATTTGTTCATTGTATTGTGCTAGTGAATGGAGGCCCTGCTACTGCAAATATAAAGCATAATGTTTGTTTTAAAAATGCAAACTATTCTTGACCTTAAAAAAATAAAAATATCTTTTGCTTTGTGTCTCGAAATGATGTAATACGATCATAGCTTTTGTTGTGTTGGATGAAAAGATGTGGCCTATTATTTTGTTGCAGCAAAAAAGAAGTGTTAATAAAATGCTCTATTTATCCATTTGTAAAAAAAATACATTAATTTGGGCTTAATTTATTTACTTTGTGGCTTTCATGTGAATTTAGCTTGTGTATGCCCCAACGAGGCCAATCTAGCCTCAGAATAACAGCCTCTTAGGGCCATCTGAGGTTTAATGGAAGAGCGTGGCATTCTTTAGATTGTGTGGGAGGTGGTTCCATAGAGAGAGTTTTACACCAGAAAATAGTTCTCTGAGCCAAACTCTATCTTTCAATGATAGTCTTCTCCCAACTTCTGCCAAGCCTGAAGAAAAATTTAGCAAAAACCTCAAAACTTGTCAAGTCAACGATACTACTTAATTTTGGTTATGCATATATCTTGTCCTTGGCATGGCCTTGGCCATTTTATGTAGAGTATCTTACATAACTTCACAAGGACCTGCCAAAGTTAAGTACTCTCTTTATTCCCATATTACAAATGAAGAAACTGGTGCTCAGAAAGTTTGAAGAATTTTCCCAAGGTAAATAAAATAGAAGAATGACATTATTTTATAATGTGTCAGCCAAGCCAGCGAGGAGTGGGCAAGATTTATCAATCCTGCATCGCTGGCAAGGTGATCATTTAGCTCTGATTCCGTTTCACAGCTGTGCACAAAGGAAAGCTTGTAATCATAGAGCACTGGAATCTGAGACTCAGAGAACTTCACTGCTCAAAGGGACTACTAGGATGATTTAATCGTCACCCCTTATTTAACAAATGAGGGCACTGTGGGTCAATAAAGGAAACTGACTTGATCAAGAGGACACAGAAGATATTATATGAGTTTAGGAAGAAGTTGTTATGATTAGCTGTTCTTGTTTTTATTTTATTTTATTTTATTTTTTTCACCAGGCTTTCATTTAAGGAACTAATTAAAGAATGTTTATTGGTATGATCCCCACCCCACATCCACCATGCACAAACTTCAGAATATGTGTTGGGGGATGATGAGAGGTAGGGGAATATAGTTTTTTTTCCTGCAATTCTCTGCATAAAGAAACAACATCCAGAGAGCCACCTAATTCTTAAGGAGACTCACATGCCATCTTGGCATAACCTGATGCAAGAAATGAAAATGTCTTGACTCTAAAAGTCTCAAATTCCATCATTCTGTAATACAAATGTTTACAGTTCATATAAGAAGATTTTTCTAATTATACCTCCAAATAAAACCACTGGCCATGCTCACTTGCTTTTAATCATGCAAAATCATCTTCCCCTTCTCCTCCTCATCCTCCCTTTAGTCTCATTTTCCTCCTCACTCCAATGCCCATTCCCATCTGGATTGTTGTATCTACTGTTTTGCAACTAGCAAAATTCTTTCCTATGCTTTACTACATGTCATCCACACATCTGCCTTGCAAAACTAAAAGAACACATATTAATATCAGTATTTCTGCTTTCCAAGTAAGGAAACTGAGTCTAAGAGGATGTAATTAACTTCCTAAAGATACCTCAGAGAGGATTAGAACAAGAACACAGACTATTTGGCTATAGCAAAATAGTAATTTATTTTTACTTTCAAATTATTTTGTTACTCTTCTTATTATAAATGTAGTAGGGGTAAGAGGAGCGTCACTAGGTAAGAACATTATTAAAAATAGTGAAAATAAGGATAATTGGTAATCTTGCTATCCAGAGGTAAGCGCTATTAACATTTCTGGTCTTTTCTATGAAAAATTACACAGAAAACTCATACTCTGTAATTTGTAAATTTGAAATCATACTCGATCTATAGTTACTATCTAATTTTTCCATTTAACAGTGTAACATGGATACTTTCCTGTTTGAAAATAGAGTTCTATGATCTAATATTCCTTTACATAACATGAGCTATATTTAATCTGTTTATTTACCCAATACCTTATTTATAAACATTTCATCTTTGTACCCTTTTCCCTTTGTCTTTCTTCTAGTGTGGATGTTTTCGGGAAATGCGAAGTCACATACACACACCTTTAGCTTCTGTAATCATGACAGATACTGAAGTTACTCCCTGTACTTTAGTATTCCTGTGCTCGTCTACCGAGAGTGCTACTGGCAATTGGCTTTTCTTGGATTCATTCACTAATTCACGAATTCATTCATAAGTCTTTTTTAGGTGCCTAGCTGTGCAAGTCCCTGGATATAGAGAGGTGAGAAAACGGCCCCTGCTCCCGTGGACCCTAGCGCCCCACCCCTTCCCCTACGTGTTTGCAGCACCTGCCTGGCCAAGCCGGGCCACACAGATGTGGCTCAGAAAGGGGCTCCTAGACACTGGCTCTCGATAACCTCTCTTGAGAAAGGACTTCTCTGAATTTTCCAAACTCTCAAAGGCGAGCTGCCTTCAAGGTGCTTCCCAGTGTCAATTTCTGTGTGTTTGTTTCAGGTGAGGAAGCTTTTCTTGGCCTCAGAGATCCTCACGGTGCAGGGAGTCTAGGCCCTGCAAACAGGTAGATGAGCATCAACTGTATCCATTGCCTGAATTTCTACAGAAGGGGGATGGATGGGCTGAACTTCCAAGTGCATTTCCCAGTTCTCCTCCACATTGCTTTCTCTCTGTGTTCCCCTCCACGTTTCTAATGACATATACATTTCCTCTTCCCATTTTTCCCCTTTGTCTACAGGCTACCTCCTGTAGAGGTAGTTATGTGATATGCAAAAAAGTTATGTGATATGCTACTTCATGAAAAGTCAAATTTTATTGAAGTGTGAAGTGTTTTATACTGTAAGGTAAATGAATGGAAGAACATGAAGCATATCCCTCACTTTACAAGTTCTCTTTCACAGATAAAAGTGTTTGTGCCCAAGCATTTCATATAAAACATTGCAAGATATTCCTTTTGGCTTTCGAGATTAAATTCTTACTCCAGGGATATGATCAGCAGGGTTTGTTTTATTTTCCTTTTGCTCTATCCAAATGCAAGACCTCACACCTGAATTTTCATTCAGCTGCTGTCAAAAGCACTTTATTCTGAAAGTTGGTCCTTTAACATTCTCAGGCTTCCCCAAGATGTCCCCTGAATGCATCTGGCCATGTAAAAGCTGCATAAACTGGACCTATTAACCCTGTCCCTTGTCCAAATTCAGCAGCATGAAACCCTTGGCTTTCACCAAGAGCAAGTAAAATGAAGAAACCTCTCCAGTTTTGTTAAATCGCATGCGAGGATGTGCTTTATTATTTGATTCAATATGCGTCAGATAAAAATCCTTACGTTTCTAAGAGTTTGAGGAATGCTTTTCCTGATGCATTAGTGCACCATCAGCAATTAGGTCTGAAGTGCATGGGGCCTGCTCCGTCTCCTTTTTGTCTCCTCAAGAAACTTAAGAGAGACACTTTTTGGCTCAATTGCTGTTTTTATCTCCCCTCCTCATTTTCATTTAGTTTCTATTTTTCACTGTCTGTGGAGATGTTACCTTTTATTTTATTTTAAAGAAGGAAGTAAATGAGGGAAATAATAATAATAATAGGAAGCATTTATATAGGGCTTATGAAATGCCACGTTCTCAGTGTTTTATGTATGCCTAGCTCATTTAATCTTCAAAACAACCCTCTGTGGTAGATACTATGGTTAACTCTATATTATAAATGAGGAACTTAGGCACAGAGAAGATAAGTCACTTATCCAAGGTCATACAGCTAATGGAGTCAAGTTAAAGTGTGAACCACTTCAGTCTGGCTCCAGTTCCTAAATTATGCCTCACTACAATTGGCTGATTCTAAATAGCTGTGTGACTTTGGGGAGTTACTCGATTTCTCTGAGGTTCAGTTTTTTCATCTATAATGTGGCACTCTAATACGTAATGTGTAGTTAGTTGTGCAGTTAAATCAGATAACATATAAAACATATAAACATATAACAAATAGCATATTGCACAGCACCCTACATATTAGAGTTTAACAAATGTTGTTTCCCTCTCCTTTTCCTCATTATGCTAAGTAAATATAAGATAGTCACTCTTCAAGTTTGACTCCATGTCAGATTTGTCACAATGGACCATTTTGGAAACTATCTTGAGATATTTTTATCTTTAATGTAACTAATTCTTCAGATTGGTTATCCAAATTATCGGTCTATTTTTATTTTATAAATTTAATGTGACATCAAACAAGTGCAGAACAATAGGTGCTATAGGATGCTATTTATGTAAAATATAGTACATATCCTTATAAAAATATAAGAAACTATATACTGTGTGGTAGGAGGACAAATACTTGGATTGGAAAGATCAATACAAAAGTATTCACAGTAGTTGCATCTGGAGAGGAAGGAAGAAAATAGACTTGTGGGAAGCATAAAAGAAATCTCAAATTTGTCATTTTTTGATTTTGAAGGAAAGAATGAAGCAAATATGAGAAAATATTTGTTTATTCTGGGAATTCACATGTGGATTTTTATTATATTTTTCATGATACTTTTCTGTGTTGTAGAATATGAAACAAAAAAGCCAGATAAGTTAGAGAACACAAGTCTTATTTCTCTCCAGTGGTTGTGGTTCTTTTTAAATCTCTAGGAGGCCAATAAACATTGTCATGATCGTCAAGAGGTTTTCAGAAGCCATAGAATTTAAAGCAACAGCTTTGGTAGACTGTTTTTATTTTATAAAGTCAAAGTAAAGGTAGATTTATACACATTTATGAACAGGTTTGTGAATCCAGATGAAGTTCTGCACAAAGCCAACTAAAATGTGTATGATGATCAATGTCACACATGAAAGTCATCTTTCTGACAGATCACATCAGTCTATTGGACTGGTTCTTATAGATTGAAAACAAGTAGGGGTATGGGGAACATGCTTATCTCTATGGATGCAGAGTGGAAATTAGTATGTCACCATTAGTATAAAAGCATATTAACTCAATTTCAGTTACAATGCGACAGTAGAAAAAGCAGAATTGCTTGTGTCCAGTCCCCAAACC